CTTCTTATAGTAATTTATTGATATGAAATGAAAAATAGTATACAGTCATAAAACATATAATTACATGAACATATATCAAAAATACAGTAAAAAAAGTACATGACCGTTGGTAAAAAAAAAAAAGAGGGTAACCTTCTAAATAGGTGAGAGTCTTTATCTTCTTCTTCTTGCTCTGAGAATTGGAAAACCCAAACAAGTTTTTTGAGTAGAGAAGTGGCCGTCCACCGTCGCTATCGCCGCCGCCTTACAGTCGAACAACCATTTTTTCTGTCTCTGTTTCTCTCTCAAACTACTATGATCCTTGATTCGTTTCTCAAATTTCTCCCAAGCTAGCTTACTCGATCTTCCTCGTGTGTCTTCGTTTCTAAATCGTAAGTTTTTCGTTTTTTTGGTCACATTTCGAATGTTTATGTCGATCTCCAATTAGATCGGAATGAGGTAGAGATTTCTCCCGTCGCCTAAATTATTCAGAGTACAAGTTTTAAGGTTGGGAATCGAAATTTCTAATTTGATGTTTAGTTATGGAATCGTTGCGTTGATCACAAACCCTAATTTCAAGGAATCCTCAGAACAGAGCTGAAATTAAGAAATGATACATTCCATTTTGATGCTGGAAAGTCTTTGGTAGAGTTATTGCTTTGAATCTGTGGTTCTTGTGTTGGATTTTAGAGTTGATTCTCTAATGTTGGATTCTACTAGGCTTAGATGGTTCCTTCATAGATGTGTAGTGCTTGAACAGGCCAAGCAAGTCCATACACAGTTAGTTGTGAACCGCTTTAACCATCTTGAGCCTATCTTGGTTCACCAAACTCTTCAGCTCACTAAAGAGTTCTCTAGAAATGTCGTAAACTATGTCAAAACAATCCTCAAGGGGTTTCAGAGTTCGACTCGGGTGGATTCCAAAGGTCTGGATGATGATTCTTTCTCATGGGGATGTCTTGTCCGGTTCTTGAGCCAGCATAGGAAGTTCAAAGAAACGGTTGGCTTGTACATCGAAATGCACAACTCTGGAATTCCACCTAACTCACATGCCATAACCTCGGTTTTAAGAGCTTGTGGTAAGATAGAGAACATTGTTGATGGTAACTCAATTCATGCTCTTGCTCTTAAAAATGGATTATGTGGTTGTGTTTATGTTCAGACTGGTCTTGTGGGTTTGTATTCTAGACTCGGTTACATCGAGATGGCAAAAAAGGCTTTTGATGACATTGCTACGAAGAATACAGTTTCGTGGAACTCGCTTTTACACGGTTATCTGGAAAGTGGGAATCTAGATGAAGCTCGCAGAGTCTTTGAAAAGATCCCAAAGAAAGATGTGGTGTCATGGAATCTAATTATCTCGAGCTATGCAAAAAAAGGTGACATGAGCAATGCATGCTCTTTGTTTCTGGCGATGCCCGAGAAAAGCCCGGCTTCTTGGAATATTTTGATCGGCGGGTACGTGAACTGCAGGGAAATGAAACTAGCAAGAACCTACTTCGATGCAATGCCCCAGAAGAATAGTGTTTCTTGGACAACAATGATTTCAGGGTACACAAAATCGGGCGATGTTCAGTCTGCTGAGGAACTCTTTGGACAGGTGTACAAGAAAGACAAACTCATTTATGATGCCATGATAGCTTGTTATGTTCAAAACGGTAAGCCAAAGGATTCTCTGAAGCTATTCTCTCAGATACTTGAAAGCAACTCATATATTCAGCCGGATGAGATCACGCTCTCAAGTGTTGTATCAGCTAATTCACAGTTGGGTGATACAAGTTTTGGTACATGGGTCGAGTCATATATAACCGAACATGGAATCCAGATGGATGATCTCTTAAGTACCTCTCTGATTGATCTTTACATGAAAGGCGGAGACTTTGACAAGGCATTCAAGTTGTTCAATGGTCTAAACAGAAAGGACACAGTTTCTTTCTCAGCTATGATCATGGGGTGCGGGATAAACGGCATGGCCACAAAAGCAAGCCGTTTGTTTAAAGAAATGATCGAGGAGAACATCCCGCCAAATCCAGTAACATTCACAGGACTATTATCAGCGTATAGCCATTCGGGTCTTGTTCAAGAAGGCTACGAATGCTTCAACTCCATGAAAGACTACAACCTGGAACCTTCAGCTGATCATTATGGGATAATGGTGGATATGTTGGGACGAGGCGGGAGGCTAGAGGAGGCCTATGAGCTGATTAAGAGTATGCCGATGCAGCCAAACGCTGGAGTTTGGGGAGCCTTGCTTTTAGCCAGTGGGTTACACAATAGCATTAAGTTTGGGGAGATTGCGTGCAGCCACTGTGTTGAGCTCGAAACTGATCCTTCGGGTTATCTTTCCCATCTTGCTAATATCTATACATCTGTTGGTAGATGGGACGATGCAAGGAATGTAAGAGTGGCTATGGAAGAGAAGAAACTGCGTAAGCCACTTGGGTGTAGCTGGGTTGAAGGTTCAAACCATTGAGGTTTCTGGGTATACAAACCATTGTAGTCCGTTAAGAGATTCGGTAACAAGATGCAGTTTCTACATCCAAGAGTGGAAGAACCCGAATAAAAGGTTTGGAAAAACAGTCCTAAGTTACAAACCAACATAAAGCCTAAACCTTAAGAGTTTGATGTGTAGTAGAACACTAATCTGGAAACCGAAAATACAAGGGAGCTACGAGTTCTTTTGACGAAGAAATCAATTTAAAGTGATGTTCATGTCATGAGAGGGCTTGTGTCGTGGATCAGAAGCTAAAGGCGGTGTCCATGTACTGATATGAAGAGAAGAAGACGTGGGACGAATGGTTCGAGGATCAGCTGCACTAAAAGAGGTTGGCATTGGAGATGGCATAAAGTTGTGGTTCTGCTTCTTCGGTATCTGATCATGCTGGTTGAAACTTCCTACAACCACTTGAATAGGAGTGGCTGCAACCAGCAAGCCAGCGACACCACCGCCTACTACGCGTCCATCAGGACTGGCCAACGACACAGTCATCCCACCTGTTCTGCTCCGTGTTCCATCCGAGTCACTTGGCATGAATGATCCCGACAGCGATAATATCTCAAACCGACCCTTAAAAAAAAACCACAGAAGCAACCATCAAGATCAGCAAAACTTACAATTGAAAACAATCCGGTTTGGTTTTGGTTCGGTTTTACAGAAACGAAAACAAAATAAACCTATCTATAATTCGGTTTGATTTTGGTTCGGTGTGACTGAAATCCATACCTCATAGGTCAATGTACCTCCAGATGAATCAGGCTGACGAAGTGTAACACTCGAAACGACACCGTTTGCGCATAGAACGCAAATAGCAAGTGACCCTTGTTGCGAAAACGAGATTATCTTCTTCGTTACGTCCTATAACCAAATTCCAAATCATTCCTCACCAAATCATCAATTACTACTACATTCGTAATATAATTTAGCACATAGTTATATTATGGTATATACAGTACTTAGTCCTAACCTCGCCTGCGTTAACAGTAATTATATGCGGCGTGAAATTAGCACCGGTCGAGGAAGGAGCCCATTCACCTACACACAAGAGCATATACGATTGCATATACGCTCTCAAATACGTATTTATATACGGTCTACGTATATGTACGGACAAAAAGTTAAGAGGGACCCCACTTGAACTAGCTTTTCTTTGCATGTTTTAACTTAGGACCCAGAAAGATCCCAAAAAATCTCTTTTAGTGTCACAAGAAATCAAGATTTGATTTTTGAACTCACCAAGAGAAAAAAATGATTTACCTAAATTCTCGACTTGGTACTTAGTCTTGACGAAGGAGCTTGAAGTAGTTGCTGGTTTCACTTTGTTACGTTTCTCCGACGCCGAGAAATCGATGACGTGAGAAGTCGTTGGTGCGGCTGATGATATCGGATTCGGCGATAAAGCCACCGTAGCTCCGTCGTGTCCGTACTTCCTCGGCCGTCCTCGCTTCTTCTTCATCGGTCCGCTTGAGAAACCTTCAGTCGTCGCCGGCGGTTGCGGAGGAGCGAAGGAGTTTTGTGGCGGCGGAGGGAAGGTGTTTTGTGGCGGTGGAGGAGGAGGAGCGACGGAGACGGGTGGTGGAGTTGAAGTTTCTGATCTTGGAGCCATGTGGAAATCCGACGGTGCGTTGGATCTCACCACCGTAACTCCACCGTCGCTTCCGGTGGTTGTTCTAACAACTTCTCCGGTAGACTCCATATCTAGTACGATTATTTATTTGGGATTGAAAAAGATTTAATTTTTCCAAATCTAAAAAGCTTAAACCATTCAACAGATTAAAAAGAACCAAGAACAAGTTTTTTTTTTTTTCTAAAAGTAAATGAGAAATTAGATTAAAAAAAAGCAAAGAGGAAGAAACAGAAATAAAAGAAGAAATTAGGAAATGTTTGAGAGGAAAGTGAAGAAAATTAGATTTATTTATGCTGTGTGGTTTCGATGAAAAAAAGAAATGAAAAGAGCAATAAAATATTTGATTTTGAATTTGGAAATATGAAGATTTTAAAAAAATTAAATTAAAAGGCGTTTCCTTAATATTTTAATATATTTGTTTCAGGCTTTTAGTTCAATTTCCTTCCTAACTTTTTTTCCTGTCTGTCCGTTTTTAATTTAATACTGAATAAATTAAAGTAATATAAAAAAGAAAAAATGTATTTTTCGTGAAAAGGGAAATGTATTTAATAGAGCGTTATAATACAACTCACCAATTAAATTTATATTTTAACTCCGAGAAATTAATATATGTTTTTTGGAATATATGGAAATTCGTGTTTTTAGCTGGAATCCGATGGGAAGAA